TCTTGGTGTAACGTTAAAAAAATAAGTAAATAAAAAATAAAGGTACAATTTAACGGATTCTGGCATGTTCATGGATACGTTGCAACCACCGCCATGGTCAACTTTAAAACATTTTCATCACCTTGAAATAAGAAACCCTGTATGTCCAAGGCTCCCTTGTCTCCTCCATCCTCCCCAAACCCTAAGCAATCATTCATCTACTTCTGTCTCTGTAGATTTGCCAATTTTGGACATTTTGTATAAATGGAATCATGTAATAAGCAGTCTTTTGCGACTGGCTTCTATCACTTAGCATAATGTTTTCAAGGTCCATCCGTGCTGTAACAGGTATCTGAACTTCATCCTTTTTTTTTTTGTTTTGAAGTACAGTTGATTTACAATATTGTGTTAGTTTCAGGTGTACAACAAACTGATTCATTTTTTTTCCAGATTATATTCCACTATAGGTTACTACAAGATTCTCTGTGCTATACAGTAAATCCTTGTTGCTTATCTATTTTCTGTATAGTAGTTTGTATCTGTTAACCCCAGACTCCTAATTCTTCCCTCCCTCCCTCCCTTTCCCCTTCGGTAACCGTAAGTTTGCTTTCTGCGTCTGTGGGTCTGTTTCTGTTTTGCATATAGACTCATTTGTGTTGTTTTTAGATTCCACATATAAGTTATATCACATAGACATGCTTACTGCCTCTCCCCAAGTCTCTTTCTGGAGCTCCACACTTTATCCCACGTGTCATTTCTTTTGATAATTTTCAGAACTTTATAGCTCTATCCTGTTTTCTGAGTAATTCCCTCACACCCCTCAGCTCACCATTCGGTTTTCAGGTTTTAATTAAATATTTCAAGCATATAGAAAATACGATTCTCCCTTACTCACCACCCAGCTCTGTCAATCTCACTATTTTACAACATTTGCCTCGACTTTAAAAAAAATACACTACAGATAGAGCTGAAGCCTCCTAACCACCCCGTCCTTAAAGTAATTACAACCCTGAATCTAATGTTTATTTTTCCCACACGTTTGTGTGCATTTATGATATATTGTATCCATAAATATGAAGCACTGTTTAATATAAACATACTACATGTATTCTGTAACTTCTTTTCAGTCAGTATTTAAGAGTCATTCACATGGATGACATAACTCTAATTCACACATTTTAAGAGTTTCACGTATTCCATTATAGACTATGACCACGCTCCAACGTACGTATCCATTCTCTTCTCAATTAGCATTATGTCTCTCTTTTTTTTTTTAAATGACCTTTATTTTTTAGGGCAGTTTTAAGTTCACAGTAAAACTGAGCAGAAAGCACAGAATTCCCATATAAGCAACCCCTGCTTCCACCCAAGTACAAACTTTCCACTATCAACGGCTTGGAAGAAAACCTGCACGTACTAACAACGTCCATGTGGGAACCTAGAGTTAGGAAGGCATTAAAGTAAATACTTAAAGGAGATTGTTTTATAGGTTGTAGCTCACGTCCTAGAACACAAGTAAAGCAACAATTCGCATTTCATGGCCAATGGAACTAAAAACTGTCATTTTCAGAGTTGACTGGACAACATAAAGGAACAATTTAATCTACTGTCCTGATACCAAATGTACAAGAGGAGTAATTAAAAAGTTTACTTACCATTGGCAAAACTCTCTCCAACATAGTATTGTAATTCTTTCACATTTGTTTTTGTCTGGTTTGTAACAGGATCAACGTAATCTTCAGTTGCTGTGACATTCAGAAACTGACTTTGTCGAGGGCTACATGTCAGCTCACAAAACAGGTTCATTAGGTTATAAAAACAGGATGGACACCTAAAGAAACAGTAAACTATTTTGTATGACATCACAGATAACAGGGCCAGCAAAAAGATGATTTAAAATAGACAAAGAATATTTGAAATTTATTGTAAAGTGGTAAATGGATTACCACGAGGATATATTAAACCCAGAAATTCTAAACATTAAACCCCATGTTAAAATAAAGACACCTCTTTAAAACCTACCCTAAATACTACATTCATGCTGCCCAGATGTAATTTCAGAATGAGACAAATGCTCTCTGATTCTGCACTTTATAATTCAGAGATATTTCCTTTGTCTTGAAGCTAAAAGGACTTAAGGAACAGCATGGTGATAATTCTCATTAAGAAGAAAAAAAGGGAGAAAAGTGAGATTTACACATTAGAATTTTCATCTTATAACCTAGCTCTCTTCCGAGTCCCACATAATCCTTAGCCTTCTTTAAACACAAGAGGATTTCCCCATGACTTGAGAAGATACAAAGAACAGCAAAGGTGTGCTCTAGCTGCAAGCATTTCAGAAGCACATGGGTTTTCTGAGACCCGCAAGCTGCCTGCTGTCCCTGGGGTCCAAAGTTTAGGCTCCTAATGTTGACCAGTTATGTGGCAGAAGACCTCTCCTCTTTGGTTCACCATTATCTGCAGAAGCCATTGCTTCAACAGACCTGCATTCTCACAACACCACCGATCAAGATTACTCTCTACTCTGATCTCATCCAGGCACAGAAAGAGAAAGGTGTGGTCCCGGCCTTCCAAGCCTCTGATCTAGTGACTGAGCAGACATGCACACACTGACTCTCTTTCAGGAGTCCTGTGTTTTACTGTGACAAAAAGGAATGACAATTACACCATTTGAACAGAAATCACTCTTGGGGTGCAGTTTTCTACCACTTGCCATAAATTATAAACCTCTTTCCATGTTACTCCACAGCCATCAATTTTGACAGCTGTATAATATTCCTTATTAGCATCCCATTGTTTGCTATCATAAAGCTTTGGTATCTCTGACAACACAGGGGAAATCTTGGTGATCTTTTGATGTTTATGTTTATGCCCATAATGCCTCACACAGAGCAGGTGGTAAATCAATCTGGGCTGAATGACAGCACCAAACTGGCTCCAGCAACATCTGCTAGGCTTCCACAAGATACACTGGCCTGATTACAGCCTCAACTTTTTGATCTATGGCTCTATTGTATGTTGTCCTGAAAAAACAATTTAGAGATGGTTTTCCACTCTGTGTTGCCAACTGAAACTCCTGGGAAGAAGCAAGGTTTCTCAGCGGATGTGGACTTCGTGCCCTGTCACCTGCAGCAACACCTGCACAGAGAGCCCATGCCTGCCCACCCGCCTTTATCGGGTGCTTGAGTGTGAGAAATTTAGGAAGACATCACAACATTTTGTTCCAAAGACCAGCTTGTTCTCTTGCACGTTTGAGAACTGCTGGGTAAGCTTGGAGAATATCTATTACACCACCCCTGTCACAGAGAACAGACTGGACAGCAAACTGACTTTGACAAAACCAGCTGACTATGCCAGAACAAGCTTGTGAGCAGTGACCAAAAGCCAGCTCTACTGAGGCCTGGGACTCCAGCTCATCAGGGCGCCACAGGAGGAGAGAACCATGTGCAAATCAGGGGAGAAGAGGGGAGGGAGGCGACACAGACAACAGCCTGGATGAGGGTCTAGCTGGGCAGGACCACCAGGAATCTCTCCTCCCCACAGTGCGAAGAGGCTCACGTCTGAAAGGACCCAGTCACAGTGCAGATACCCTTTGTGCTGAAGACACCTCAGAGGAAAGCCAAGTAGCGTCTCTGAACGTAAGTAGACAGGGAACGGAGTCTGATCATTATTACTCTGTCAGAAGGTCTTCTTTATTTCTGGAAGGTTGTAAGACTGCTTCCTTAAAATAAAGCAAAAACTAACTTTTTAAGCCCATTTTTGTTCTTCTGTTTGCCTGGCAGTCTACCTACCTGGACAGAAACTGCAGAGGCAGCTGCAGGTTGTCTTTCAGAGTCTGAAGCTGCTGGACATCACAACAAAGGCTGACGTTGCCGAAGAAGAAGCCTGGGCAGAGCTCCTTTTGGGTGAGAAAGCATGGACATCAGGGCAGCACAGTTAAATAAGGACAAACATCCCTCCATGAGAGAAGACCATCTTATGCACAGAACCCTCTGGAGGTACACAAGGGTGAGACACGAACTTGCCAAGTTCTTGCAGAATGCTTTCAAAAGGCCATCAAATTCACTATAAACTAGGGATTCACAAAAGTAGAAGCAGTAGAGACATTTCTCTCTTTTTTTCCCCTAACTGGGAAGCTCAATCTTTTTACCTCTTTTTAAGTTTGTTTGGTTACGTTTAACCAGAATGCGATTTACTCTATTAGTCCAGGGAAAGTCAAATGCCCTTCATAACTCCGATGAAAGGAGCAAGTAAGTCTAGGAGTCCTGGTACCGTGTCACCTGAATTTTAATTATTTCAGCCTTTAAAACCAGTCTTTTCACTTGGATTTTTCCAGTCCTTTTCTAATATCCCTGTGTATTGGGGATGGTAAAAGAGACAACAGGAAACACATTCCTGGCAGCAGCCAAAGTTCACAGGCTCTCGGTGGAAAATGGAGGAGTCACTAAAGTGAACAGAGGACGGGAGTCACAGCCACTTAGCAGCCAAGTCCTTTCAAGTTCTAAAATCTAGGGACACAAAAAAGCTAACTTTGAATGTATTTGGAAGAAGCTGCAATGAGCAACATCTGAGGTACCAAGATTCGTCCCTAAAGAGGAACCTGCCAGTGGGAAGCTTTATGAGCCAGGGGTAGCCCCAGGAAAATGAACTCTCTGGAGTTATGCGACCTTCCCTGCCACGGCGTGCTATAGACGCGAGTCTGGGATGAGAGGGGCCTATTCGTGCCAGCTCTACGCCCAGCCCACGGTAATATTTAAGGTATAATTGCAGAATCTCTGATGAGCATTTTGTGTTTCCAACACCCAAGACAACGAACTCACCTGCACGAGGTCATACCCGTCCTCTGGCAGCGGTTTTGGTGGCCCAGAGTATCTGCAATTGTATCTCTTATCTCCAGATGCAATTCCACACTCTCCATACCAAACGCAGGACTGTGCAAATACCTACAAAAGTCAACACAAAACTCAGTTCATTAGGGCTTCCAGGGTAAAACGAACTTCAACAGCAAAAGGCACCCACTCGAGCACCTCTTAACAGAAGTTTTCAATGTTACCTGCAAAGCAGAGTAACAGCAAGGGGCACTGGTTTAATATTTTGAAAAATATTAATTAAAGCAGAGCCCAAAATGGACTCGTCAAGTCAGTCAGTAAAGGAGATAAGAGAAATTTCTTATTTACGTGACTTCCACTTCCTGCTAGTTTATCTGTTAATTAAGAGGACGCTGCAGTTCCACGTAAGAACCCACAGGAATCAGTGCAGATGAAAGAAAGCAAGATAGTATGAGAGTCAGTGATGACTAAGGCACTATTTTTGCACATCTGCATAAGGAACTGTGTCGGGTCTAAAGAATGAAAGAACATTTCCGTATCTATTTAGGTCAATTAGTATCAATACACCATGCACACAACATGAAGGAAAAACTGCAAGGAAGAAGAGCAAGAATGAATACCTCATCCTCTAGATTTAAGTAAAAAGCAAGAAATGTGCTCACTTTAAGGAAAAAATCATCTCAGAATCTCAAAAGGAAAATGTAAAACTTCTTGTGTAAAGATTTCTCAAGAGCCACTCCTATTCCCCACGAGAGAGTCACAGGGCTGTCAGAAAATTCAGAAAGGGGGAAGGGCGCAGAGTGACTCAGCCTGCCAGCAGGGCCACCAAGCTCTGCCAAGCTGGCCAGGGTCATGGCCGGCATGACCTTGCAATCAGCTGTCCTGGAGGGAAACAGGGGCTGACGAGAAGCAACCTTGGCTCCCAAGGTACCTAGTGAGGAGGCCATTAAAGAAAAGAGTGGAATAGAAGCAGGAGAGTGAATTGTCTCTGGGGCAGCAGCACAGGACCCACACAGCTGAGGAGTGCAGCCAGGCTGTGCTGGTCCCCGGCATCAAAGCACAAATCCCACAACAGGCCCCAAAGCCCTGAAAACAGGAAAGGAAAAGCAGGCAGAGGCTGGGGGCCGTGGAGTGAAGGGGAAACTTAAAGGTCCATATGACTTGTCTCTGAATTCATTCTTCAGATATTTTAAAACAGAAGTTATGACTTACCTCTATCTTGACTCACTGAAAGTCATATGTTCAGGCCACAAGAGAGAGAAATCTGACACGAATGAGGAAACGACAAGGAGGCAACAATGCCACATCTCAAACCTTCAGAGAGAATTTGCAAAATTCTACCGTTTTTATATAAAAAGAATCACAATTATTTCCATAAATCTGGTGATTCTAGGGGAAGTATTGATCTTCCAAAGAGTTTCCCACTAAAAGGTCATTACCCACCCCTTGAAGTTTGAAAAGGCAAATCAGCTAAGGAGGGGTGACAACTGCTGACAGTGACCTTATTTTAAATACATGGGACCCTTCCCTTGAAATCCCCATCACAGAATTCTCCAGGCAGAAGACCAGTCAACAAGCCATGACTGTGGCCCGACGAGCAGGATGGGCGTCTGGAGTCTAAGTTCCCCTTCCTCAGCCCTCAGCGCTGTGTAGGAAACAAAGACAACCCAGAGCCGCTTGCTTCCTACTTGCAAGATCATCCTTTAGAATCTACACCATTTGCTTCTAAGCAAAGTTGCTTCTACCCTCCTGGTAGAAGAGACGGGGGCAGGGGAGGGGGCAAGAGGCAGGGAGTCAGGAGACATGGTTCTGGTCCTCAGAAGTCATGAGACTCTCAATGCACTGAGCAGGGTGGCAGCTGGAGCAGGAACCCTGGTCGTGCTAGCGGGAGTCCCCTTCCTGTGAATTGCACTCAGAACCTCCGCCCACATCACCGTTTTGGTGTGAAGACCAAATGCGGGGGGACATGCGAGGAAGGGCTCAGGAAACCAGGAAGCACTATCAAGCGTAAGGAATTATTCTTAATGTCCTGTTTGGGACCTCAGCAAAGAGGTTCCAAAGACCTGAAGAAAATGAAACATCTGAGGTTTCTCTGGGGCCCAGGAAAAAAATGGGGCTTGACTCATGGCTCATAGGTTTGCTTCCCCAAGTCCTCGGCCCAAAGCAGCATGAGCCTGTGGGGCCCAAGGGTACTCGGGCCGCTAGCTGCGTGCCAGGCCCTGTTTAACTGTGCTCATGCACTAACACAACCAGTCCTCGTGAGTGGCTGAGGGAGGTGCTACTATTATGCCCATTTTACAGATGAGGAAACAGAGGCGCAGGGAGGCTAAATAACTTGCCCAAGAGTGGCAGAGCCAGGATTCAAACTAGAACATTCTAGTTCCAGAAACAGACTCTCAATAAAATGGAATCAATCCCATAAGAAAGGTCCTCACTCGAGCATCATCCCCTCCTTGTGCAGGACTCACACTTGCACATTCACTCACCGGCTACACCAGCAGGGGCCCCTCACACCTCACAGCTCTCTCCTCACCTCCCCTCATCTCACCCACAGCTGAAAACCAAGAGCCTTCCTCAGCCGCAGCCCAGCTGGTGTATATCCCTGAGCCTCCCTGGGGACCTCCGCCACCGGCCCGCTTCCTTGTCCACATGCTCAACCTTGTCTCTCTTCTGGTCCCTTCATCTGCTCCTGCCCATAAAGCCTGCTCCACCTCCATCCTCCCTCTCAAACCTCCAGCTCCTCTCCAGCTGCTCTTCCAACTGCCTGCCCCAATCCTTCCTCCATCGCCAGGCCCTCTTCATCAGGGTTTAAAGTCCCGGGCACCTTTCCCACCTGCCCTCCAGGAACCAGCATGGTTACCCTCACCCATTCCCTCCCAAGCCAGTCACTCTCTGACTGCCTCATGACTCCCATCACAGGGCCTGCTCCCAGGAGGATCCACCTCCACCTCCACCTCCAGTAGCTGGGCATCGGCTAAGTGCCCCTCCATCTCATGTAATCCCAGAATGGATCTGTGAGGCTGGTAGTAAAATAACACCATTTCACAGATGAGGAAACGGAGGGTTACACAGGTAAGGCCACATCTAAGAAATGGCAGAGCCAGACCCTACCTGAGGCCTGGCTGGTGCAGAAGCTGGAGCTCTTACTCCTTACACTGCATGAGGGTCACTCCTCAGTGGACCAGTGACTGGGCCATGCTCCCCTCTGCAGCCCATAAAGACCCTAGCTCGTGTCTCAACAACTGGGGTTTCCAGTCTCCAAATCGCCACAGCATAGCGGTCAGTCAGAACTTTATCAACAAAGACAACAGGCGTACCTGAAGGTCCCTGGCAGATCCCTGGAATGAGAGGGCAGCGCAAGCGGACACAAGACCAAGCGTGCTTCGGACAATCACGGGTTCACGTACAGGCCACGCGCTTCCTTTCCAAGGGAAGCACCTGACTTCCAAAAGCAAGGTGTCTGGCTGAAAGCTGCCTTTACTATGACACAAGGACACATGTTGATTTCACACCAGTGATGCTCACTTGGGGAAGGAAATATGAGGCCTGATAGTGAAATAAACCCATCAGGGTCTGAGGTCTGCCAGAGGCTAAAGTGCCCCTGACCGAACATGAGCTCAGCTCTGAGACTGAGATGGATGGTGGTGGTGGTCATACAACATGTGATGAACTTCGTGTCCTAGAGCTTGAACTTAAAACTTAAAATGGTCAATTTAACCGTAGAGAGCATGTTCTTAGATATACTGAGATTAAACAGGAGGGTGACTGTCAGTTCAAACATTATGGGTCTGAGTGTCACTCAACACACCTAGTGTCTAATAACTGGTGCCGTCAGAGTTCCACCGACGTGTGTGTATGGCGGGGTGGGTGGGCGAGTCTAAAGAACGATCATTCCTCACAGATCACCTCGTGGGCACTGACCAGTCTTAGAGCTATTCACCATCACAAGAACTATCTTATTCAAGCATTTAAAAATCTAACCGACTCCTAAAATGCTAAAAATAAATGACCGTAGATTTTATTCCCTTTAACTACAGAATCAATACCCACCCATTACAAATACTCAAACATCACAGGTGCATATGAAACAACACCGGGAGCTCCCCCTTCACCTCTCCACCCTCACCCCATTCCTCAGATTTAACCAGTGCTCATTTAGATCTAGGTCTTTAGGCTTTCAATTTCCTCCCTGGGCAAACACATACAAGTGCAGTGACTCAGAAACAGCTTTTTCACAAACACATCTCTACTACCCTCTGCGACTGGCTGTTGGCTCTACCTGAACTGTCCTTCACTGTGTTTACCGGGTCCCCCAAGGCTGGGCCCCAGCCCTTGTCTGCAGTGCCTTGTTTTCTCCACAGGTTTCAGTCCTACCCATCTTGGAACAGCCTCCCTTCTTACAAGCCTCTCCCAAGACTCACTGCCTCCACTAGATTTAACTCTGACTCCTTTCACTTGGTCCTGGTCCTGGAGCTTCCCCGTCAGGAGAGCTGTCCTGGGGCAGAGGCAGGTCAGCCCCAGGCAGCACCTGGCTAGCGGCATGAGCATCCATCCTAAGTGCCCAAGTCAGCAGGTCTCCTGCGTCCAGAGCTCTGGAGAGCGATCTGTCACTTACACTCCACATGCTCCCATGTGGATCCATCCGGATGGGGATGGATAAACCTTTCCTTAGAGGGCCAAAGAGTAAATACTGCAGGCTTGAAGGCCTTAAGGTCTCTGCAGTAAATACCCAACCTTGTCTGTTGTAGCTCAGAAACAACCACACACAACAGGTAAATGATGGGCCTGGACGTGACCCAAGAACACTGCATTCAAAACAACTATGGAGGCCAGGCCATAATTTGCTGGCTCCTGCCCTAGGATGAAGCAGAATTTATGAGAAACATAAAGCTGTGTATGTGGAGCGAGGCTGCAAGAGTATTTTCTTGCTTTTGTCTCACATCTCCCCTGTAAGATCATAAAACCCTACAGAACAGAGCCCAGGTGTTACACTTCCTTTGAAATTCCCTATAGAATCTTATCCAGTCTTCACTGACTCAGAAACCTTCAAACACATGACTAGTTGAAGGAACTTGACTGGATTATGTAAGAGATTGTTCTGGCTTCAACCCAGA